TACAATGCAATCCCTATCCAAATTCCAACAGCATTCTTTAACAAGATGGAGAAATAAATTATCAACTTTATATGGAAAGGGAAGAGGCCCTGGATAAGTAAAGCATTATTGAAGAAGAACAAAGTGGGAGGCCTCACACTACCTGATCTTAGAATCTATTACACAGCCACAGTAGTCAAAACAACCTAGTACTGTTACAACAACAGACACACAGACCAATGGACGAGAATTGAGAACCCAGACGTAAATCCATCCATCTACGAGCAGCTAATATTCGGCAAAGGGCCAAAGTCTGTAAATGGGGAAAAGACAGCCTCTTTAACAAATGGTGCTAGCATAACTGGATGTCCATTTGCAAAAAAAATAAAACAAGATCCATACCTTGCATCATATACAAAAACTAACTCAAAATGGATCAAAGACCTAAATATAAAACCTAAAAGGATAAAGATCATGGAAGAAAAAATAGGGACTATGCTAGGGTCCCTAATAGATGGCATACATAGAATACAAACCATAACTCACAATACACAAATAGCAGAAGAGAAATTAGACAACTGAAAGCTCCTAGATATTAAAAACTTAAACTTATCAAAAGACTGCACCAAAAGAGAAGAAGAAAACCATCAGACCAGAAAAAAAAATTTTTAGCTACAACATGTCTAATAAGGGTTTAATCTCTCAAATCTATAAAATACTTCAACACCTCAGCAACAAAAAGACAAATAACCCGATTAAAAAACAGACACTTCACCAAAGTAGACATTCGGGCGCGAACAGACACACAAGAAAATGCTCACGATCACTAGCCATTAAAAACCAAAAAAACCCATTGCCATCGGGTTGATTCTGACTTATAGCAACCCTATAGGACAGAATAGAACTGCCCCCCATAGAGTTTCCAAGGAGTGCCTGGTGGATTCTAACTGCTGACCTTTTGGTTAGCACCTGTAGCACTAACACTATGCCACCAGGGTTTCCCACTAGCCATTAGACAAATGCAAATCAAAACTGCAATGAGATACCATCTCACCCCAACAACACTGGCACTAATAAAAAAAAAAAAAACAGAAAATAACAAATGTTGGCGAGGTTGTGGGGAAGATTAGAACTCTTATGCACTGCTGGTGGGAATGTAAAATGATATAATCATTATGGAAAACAATATGGCATCCCCTTAAACAGCTAGAAACAGAAATACCATATGATCCCACAATCCTACTCCCAGGAATATACCCTAGAGAAACAAGAGCTGTCACACAAATAGACATATGCACATCCATGTTCACTGCAGCATCATTCAAGACAGCAAAAAGAGGGAAACAACCTAAGTGCCCATCAACAGATGAATGCATAAACAAATTATGGAACATACACACAATGGAATACTACACACCCATCAAGAACAATGACAAATCGGAGAAACATCTCACAACATGGATGAACCTGGAGGGCATTATGCTGAGTGAAATAAGTCATTCACGAAAGGGCAAATATTGTATGAGACCACTATTATAAGAACTCAAGAAAAGGTTTATACACAGAAAAAATAACATTCTTTGATAGTTACCAGAGTGGAGGGGAGGGGGAGAGGAAATCACTAACTAGATAGCAGACAAGTGTCAACTTTGGTGAAGGGAGAGACAACACACAATATAGGGGAAGTCGGCACAACTTGACCAAGGCAAAGCCACAGAATTTTCTTAGACACATCCAAACACCTTGAGGGACCAAGTTGCTGGGTTTGAGGACCATAGTCTGGGGGGACATCTAGGTCCTTTGGCATAACATAGTTCATAAAGAAAATGCTCTACACCCTACTTCGGTGAGTTGAATCAGGGGTCTTAAAAGTTTGTAAGTTGCCATCTTAGATACATCTATTGGTTCCATTCCATCTGGAGCAAAGGAGAATGAAGAAAACCAAAGGCACAAGGAAAATTTAGCCCAAAGGACTAACGGACCACATGAACCACAGCCTCCACCAGCCTGAGCCCAAAAGAACTAAATGGTACCCGGCTACCACTACCAACTGTTCTGACAGGGATCACAACAGAGAATCCTGGACAGAGCAGGAGAAAAATGTAGAACAAAATTAAAACTTACAAAAAAAACACTGCTCTGACAGAGACTAGGGGAACCCCTGAGACTGTGGCCCCCGGACAGTCTCCTATATCAGGAACTGAAGCCACTCCCCAAGTCCACCTTTCAGACAAAGATTAGTCAGGCCTATAAAATAAATAGCACATGTGAGGAACATGCTTCTTAGTTCAATCAAATATATGAGACCAAATGGGCAGGAGTTGCCCAAAAGCAAGATAAGAATGCAGGAAGGGACAAGAACTGGATTAATGGAATACTACGCACAGGGAACCTGGAGTGTAAAGGGGGAGAGTGCTATCACATTGTGGGGTTTGCAACCAATGTCACAAAACAATATGTGTATAAATTTTTAAATGAGAAACTAATGAGCTGTAAACTTTCACCTAAAGCACAATAAAATTAAAAATTTTTTTTTAAAAAAGAAATAATGTCAACACTCCCCCCATTTCTTCTGAGAAACTTCCAAATGCACTTCTCTGATTATGTAATAAAGTGGATCACAGTGCACTTATAAGAAAATATTTTAAAGTATTTTTAAAGGTGGAATAGTCTATGTTATGCTAGAATAGAATAGACCAGGGTGCATCAAATGTAGTAACTACTCTTGAAACTTTTGTTTAGCATGTATATATGTATGTGTATACAGGTAGTCTCCACCTTGCGACGTATTCGAGTTACGATGAACTGCGCTTACGACCGTTTTTTGTTTTGTTTTGTACATCTTATCGTTAGTAGTATGTACCACATACAGTGGTGCAGCATAGTTTGCTGATGTTATCATTCTCAGATGTTCGTTTGCAGATGTTCAATGTTATGATTTATAAAGACACTGATGATAAAAGGCAATAATAATGAAAACTAAAAAAGAGGTACACAACTTACATGAGAACAGTCATTGGAATGGAATCCCATCGTAAGTTAAAGACTCCCTGTATACATATATGTATATATACATAAACTCACACACACACACACACATATGAATGGATGTGCATACTAGGTCACAACACAACCCAGTAAGTCAAATATTTAGTCACTTAGTCAACTTATTTAGGTAGGTGGTAACTTACCATATTATTTGACTTCATTTAAAATATTTCAAATTTATTTATGACATGTTAAATGGAGGAAACATTAAAAACAAAAATATATCTATGATATGGTGGCAATTATGTAAAACATATGGTGGGGCTACAGCGTGAGAAGCAACTGACACATGTTAGGTTTAACCACGTACTATCCTGCCCACGTTGCAGAATGACTGCCTGGTACTTAAATGGCCAAGGAAGTGGTGGAGAGAGCTGCCAGACATGAAAGAGTCATTTGGGTTACAGAAAATTAAGTTACATTCCTTATAACCTAGAGGTTGATGCCTGAGATCCACACCTACTGCACTCACATCTGCACAGTCTCTTACCCTGGACTGCACAGTGGATAAATTCTGACGGCCTTGATTGTTTTAAGAAGGCTCCATGCAGCCCACCTCTCCTGGTGAATATACACTCCTTCAACACAGGCTCTGGTCTTCCCAAGGTCCCACCACTGGCTAAAGACAAAACCCAGAGTTCCCAACTTCTGGTCCAGGCGGGGGCAGAAAAGACTAGAATCAGCAGCTGCAGAAGAACTGGACAGCAGCACAGCAGCATGAACTGGCTGCCTGTGAAGTGGGAGCAGCTTTGGTCATACCATCATGTTAGGCCTGACCAGCCCAGGCCGGTCCAGCATATCTCCATCCTCCCAACACCTCTCTTTCCACTTGTGTGGTCTCTGTCTGGCAGTGCATTGTCCTTTCTCTCTCCACGGGTGTCTGGACTCTCCTCCAGTGGCAGGGACTACGTCCAAAGCTCTCTGAATCATAAGGATGTGTCTCCACTATGATCTACACAGTAGTTACACTCAATTACTACTTCCTGCTGCTGCTGCTGTTTCCAGGTAGCCCTTGCGCAGCCTTCCTGTTACCATTTCACGGCATGGGTGGAAAAAAAACAAGGAATAACATAATTAAGAAAAATGGCCAGTCATGACACTCTCTCCAGTGCTGAAAAGGATAATTAGGCACAACTGAGAACATTGCTCAACTATTTGTTTCTGTCCTTCTACTAGTCTACAGCTCTAAGGTGCTCCAGAGGGATTAACATACCCCACAGAATAAACAGAATAAACCACCACTCATCTGGTGTTTTGTCAGACTGTGGTGGCCTGTGCATAGCTATGAGGCTGGAAACTCTGTTACCAGTATCTCCAATACCAGCAGGGTCATCCAAGGTTGACAGGTTTCAGTGGAGCTTCCAGACTGAGATAGACCAGGAAGAAAGGCCTAGGAATCTATTTCTAAATATTAGCCAATAAAAAACCCTGTGGATCACAACAGAATATTGTCTAATATAGTGCTGGAAGATGAGACCCCTAAGTTGGAAGACAACAATGGACTCAAGCATGCCCAAGATCATGAGGATGGTGGGGGGACCCAGCAGTGTCTTTTTCTGTTGCACACGAGGTCACCACGAGTCAGAGCCAACTCAATGACAGTGAACAACAACAACATAGAATGAAAAATACCAAACCCGAATAAAAATAAAAATAAAAAGTACCAATCCCATTACATTGAATCACAGATGGGGGTCAGTGTCACTCTCTCAGCTCCCACAACTACCATCCTGTATTTGATATGATCTAAAATTTGGGCTGGAATTAACTCTATCTTCCAACCACCAACCTAGTTCTGTGGCTTGGGCCAGGTCTCCTCCCTCTCACATGTGCCCGGGTATGCAGTGAGGACTCTGCTCACGCTGAGTACATGAGTGAGCTCAGCATTCTAGGCTCTTCCCACGGCACCCCAGTGCTTGGCCCCACAGCCACAACACATGATCACCCCTGCCATGTGCCGAGACCAGGCTCACCTGTGTAATGCCCACCTTGGAGACTGCCGTGGTGGTTGCAGACAGCATACAAGTCGTACAGGAAGTCCAGCGGGTAGCCGTTGGGCAGGCAGGCTGGCTGCTTCCAGGAAGGACAGGGGCCTGGCCCGGGCTGGGGGCCACTGCTTCTTGGGGCCACGTGGGGGGCCATGTTGAGGCCGGCGAGCGGAAACTTCACCAGCGTGGAGAGCTTGTTTCTTCTCTCCCCGACTTGGCAGAACCTTTTGAGGTGGATGATGAGGATATCGGGCAGGGTCCACAGACTCAGCTTCACTGTCCCTTGCTGGAGGACTTTGCAATGGGGACACTTCCACGCATCATCCTGGGTCAGCTGGAAAGGAAGCCACCAGGATTGTGAAGCCCCCTGGCAGACGGCCAACCCACCGCAAAGCAGCCAGCCCCCTTCCCACCGGGGTGTGGGTGCAGGGCGGGACCTGCTCTTCCTTGGTGTAGAACTGGAAACACTCATCCAGGGTGCAGCTGGGCTGCTGGTGTGCTTGCTGCTGCTGCCACACGCTGTCTGCATCCGGGACCTGCTCCTCCTGGAGACTCCCAAACAGGCTGCACGGAGAGAAAACTGATGGGCATGGGGGGCTTCTCACCCTCAAGGGTGGTTTATCTATGACTCTGCAACAGGGAGGAAGGCATCCCCAGGGAGGCTAAGGTGCCCGTCCGGAGGGTTCCTGGGACACCTCATGCATACTTAGCGCACACTCCCTTTTACTGGAGTTGTCTGTCTCCCTGACCAGGTCCTTGAGAGACCAAGTCCTTGGCTTATTCGCCTTTGTCTTCCTCACCCTACACAGGGCCTGGCACCTCATAGGAGATCACTAAGTACTTGTTGGACTGAACAAGGTACTTTTGCAAAGTAAGGCTGAGGCACTTGTTGTTACAGAGGTAGCCAGGTATGATGATTAAGAGCACAGCCTCATGCCAGGCAGCCTGGGTTCAAATCCCAGCTTTGCCATGTACAAGCTGTGTGACTAAGCAATTGTTGAACCTGTGTCTGAAAAATGTGGGTTATAGTAGTGCCTACTTTATCAGGTGTAACGAAAATGAAATAGACTGCACATATGTACAGTGCTCAGGAGGGCAATGGTGGTTCATTGGTAGAACTCTTGCCTTCCGTGTAGGAGACCCGGTTTGATTCCTGGCCAGTGCACTTTATGTGCAGCCACCACCCATCTGTCAGTGGAGACTTGCATGTTCTGATGCTGAACAGGTTTCAGCAGAGGCTCTAGAATAAGACAGATGAGAAAGAAAGGCCTGGCAATCTACTCCTGAAAATCAGCCAGTGAAAACCCCATGGGTCACAACAGTCCCATCTGCAGCTGATCATGGGGATGGCACAGAATCAGGCAGCATTTCATTCAGTTGTGTATGGGGTCGCCATGAGTTGGGGCCAACCTGACAGCACTAACACCACCAACAAAAGTGCTCAGAGCAGCACCTGCACAGGGTAGGTGCTCCATAGCTGTCACCACCACCGCCATCCTCATTCTCCCTAGGGCTTCTCAGAGGAATGGCGTGCACTGCGTCAGAAATATGTGCACACTGCCTTACACTCATGCTGGGTTCAGGGAACGATTATTTGTGTAGGCAAAGCCCATCTTTCCTCTGCTGGAGGCAATTCAGTTGAACTCACCGCTCCTTAGCACGGCTATCCCATTCCACGGCCAACTTGACGTGTCGGGGGCCGCCCAGCCTCCTAAGGTGCAGAGCCCTGAGCAGAGAGCAAAGCCATCAGGAAACACAGAGTATCCTGCCCACAGCTCTGCGGGCTGAACGGTCTGCCTCCAGCCCCAGGACTGATCTTCCAAACAGAAATACACAAAAGGACTGTAAGCCAAGATCAGGTATCCTGACCTAAAGAAAGAGATAAGCCTCTTTCTTTAGGATCCCAAATCATCCATTTCCACAATGGAAGAGGGCAGGAGGCCTGCAATTGGAGAAAATTAATGTATACAGTAAAACTGTCTCTTAGATACGGTGCTGGCTAAGTCTGTGTAGATGCTGAGTCTGCCAAAGGCTTAGTCCTAAAACAGCCTCGTAGCCCTCTCTGCTCACTCCTTTGGGAGCTTTCGAGCTCTGAAGATTTGGGTTACTGCAGGGACACAGATCAAATCTCCCGTTGCAGCCCCAGCTACCTACTTGAACATCCTACAGAAATTACCAATGCTGGCAGTGCCTCAACTGAGCTGCTCGCCTCCCTCCACCTGGTGCTAAAGGAGCACCCACCAGCCAGCTGTGCAGCACATCTCCGAAACACGCCTGTCTAGATGTAAGGGTTAAAAACACAGAATGTGTAAAAGCGCATGACGTGGTGGCCATCACCGCTGAGGCAAGTGATCAACAGTAGTCAACACTGTAATCAGTTTCATTAACACACAGCCTCAAAGTTAGGTATATACTTAATTTATGTATTTATTGATACACCGCTTCAAAGTCACACATTTTTACATGTTTACATATTTATTAATACATAGCCTTAAAGCCTCATACTCAAATAAGAATACCCTCATTCTCTTACTGAATCTGGTGCACCCCTTACCTGTCAACTGCCCAGTGATAGAGGGGCCGACCGTCCTGCGGGGATAAGTAGCTGCAGGCCAGGGAATGCCCCACGACCCGGATGGAGAACAGCGTCCCCAGGTTCTGCCAAGATGGAATAGAGGAAAGGGGTCATCCTGTAGTGCCTATGTTGCCTTAAATTAAGACTCTAAGTGGCACATAAATTACTCAAACATGTAAACATTTTTTTTTCTATAGTCTATTTTGAATATTCTCTTAAGAACTGGTATTCAAAGACCAGACTTGCTGGTCTGACGTAGACTGGAAAAACCCCGAGAGTATGGCCCCCAGACACCCTTTTAACTCAGTAATGAAGCCACTCCCGACGTTCACCCTTCAGCCAGAGATTAGACAGGTCCATAAAAAAAATGACTAAAGGGGCACACCAGCCCAGGAACAAGGACTAGAAGGCAGGAAATGACAGGAAAGCTGGAAATAGGGAACTCAAGTTCGAGAAGGGAGAGTGCTGACTTGTTATAGGGCTGTTAACCAGTGTCATAAAAGAATATGTGTACTGTTTAATAAGAAACCAGTCTGCTCTGTAAACCTTCATCTAAACTACAATAAAAAGAAAAAAAATTGGTATTCAAAAAGTAAGACATATAAAAGGCTTTGGTTTTTAAAAATATCCATACTACATCTTTTAATGTGTGATCTAATGCTATGTTTAATACCTGAAACTCACCCCCCCCCCAAAAAAAATGAACACAGTATATTTAAATAACAAATGTTTAACTGGAACAGATACTAAAGTTGTCACTGATGACCTTGGCTACAACTGGAAAAAATAAAATTTTCTTCCAAAATCTGACAAAGGTAAGAGGCAGAAATTCTTATTTAAAAAAATAAATAAATAATGAAAGATAGGTTGAACTCAGACAACGGAAGAAGAAGAAAGCACTGTAATTCCAGGAAGACAGAATGATCCAAAATAGATTCAGAGAGCTATGAGTCCTTTGGTGGTGGCCAATCAGGCGGGCAGGGGAGCAGTGGGACACAAGGTTGGTAAGGTAAATCAGAACCAGGCTGTAGAGAGTCCTGAGCGTGAAGTTGCAAGAGTTCGTACGTCTGACTGGACTGTTAAAAAAAAAAAAAAAAACGTTGCTGTGGAGTTGATTCCTACTCATGGTGACCTATGTGTTACAGAGTAGAACTGAGCTCCATAGAGTTTTCTTTCTTTTAAACATTTTATTGTGGTTTGGGTGAAAGTTGACAGAGCAAATTAGTTTCCCGTTCAACAATTTATACACATTTTGTTTCATGACACACAGCTCACTATGGAACAGTCACAAATGATGACGCAAGATCCAGTTACACAGCAAGTTAACCTGGAGGGGACAGCCATCCTGGTGGACTGGATAAAATCTGCAGTGAGATTTGTTTACCCTAAGAAGGACTGCCCCTCTCCACTTCTAAATATCCAATGGAACACTCCAGAGGAAGCAGCTTATGTGCTGCTTATGCAAGCCATGCTGGAATGGCTTTATGGTGATCGGGATATTCATCCAATGAGCATGCCCCTTACACAGGTCATGGCAGATATGGTAATCAAGGGAGCCCCTCCTACATGGGCACCCCATGTAACCTTGCTACTGCAAAACAAAGCAACAATACAAGAAATCTTGTCGAATGTGTTGGCCCAGCTTCCCAGCATGGGTCTTACAGATGCAAGAAACATGAGGATGATTCATAGCAGAATAGGAAGAGGCAATGGGGAAAGAACTTACCCCAGGAGGACAGAGATTTTTAAATGGTTACCAGGAAATGGGGTGAATACAGTGGATACTGATGGAGTTGAGACAAAGGTTCTAATGCAGCACTACAGGAGGTTGGGTGGCCCAACAGAAACTCCTACTGGTCCTCCAATGTTAAAGAGGCCTAAACAAGTCCATTCTATACACCCCAGTCAGGAAGAATTTAATAATGGGAAGTCCCACCTGGGATCATTTAAAGCACAGGCTCAGCTAGTCGATCAAGATAAGGATTGAGGAGGGGGCCGGTCCAGCTCCCAGCAGGGGACCCGAGGCCATATGCACGTGTGGGTAAAATGGCCTGGGGGTGGGGCAGAGACCTTCTTGGGGCTCCTGGACACAGGAGCCCAATGTACTGTAATCCCAAACCCTGTCAATAAAGTCTTAAAGGGGTCTAAGGTAAGACTGGGGGATTTGGGGATGCAACGGTTGATGGAACTAAGGTGAAAGTTTGGATAAAAATTGGAAGATTTAAACAGATCTTGTATGAAGTAGTTGCATCTCTCTTTACCTGAATGAATTACTGCTATGAATATTATGTCTAATTGGGGAACAGTCCCTCTATCTGATATTGTAAACTGAAGGCATGTAAGTCTGCCTTTAGGCCAGTATTGACTGGACATGCTAAATGAGAACCATTAGAAGTGCCCAAACCCACTCAGGTTTTGTTAATTTAAAACAGTAAGGATACCAGGTGGACAAAAGGAAATTACTGCTTTGATTAAGGACATGCTTAATGCTGGAGTGCTGGTGCCAACAAATTCTGTGTTCAACAACCCCTGTATAGCCCATGAAAAAGGCAGATGGCTCATGGAGGATAACAGTAGACTATCAAAGCCTGAATCAAGTAGTGCCACTTGTGGTTTCAGCTGTTCCAGACATGGTATCAATGGTGCAGAAAATACAGCAGGCCAAAGGAGACTGGTACTCAGTAACTGAGCTTGCAAATGCCTTTTTCTCAATCCCAATCTCAGAAGAGCCAGCTGCAGTTTGCTTTTATATGGGAAGGATCCCAATTTACTTTCATTGTATTGCCACAAAGTTACGTGAATTCACTCACTGGCTTACTATCATAGTTTAGTTAGAAGAGACTTGGACTTGGTGCAGATCTCAAGTGTAATGATATATTATATTGACGATATATTGTTAATATCAAACACTGAAGAAAAGGCTAGGGCTTATTTAAATACAGTGGTGGCCCACATGACCAACACAGGCTGGTTAATAAATCCAGCAAAGATCCAGGGCCCTGCCAAATGGTGAAATTCTTGGGAATAACTTGGGTAGGAGCCAACTATGACATTCTGCAGGCAACCAAGAATAAGTTGCTGGCGCTACCTCCTCCCAAGACTAAGCAAGAGGCCCAGCATTTGGTTGGTCTATTTGGATTTTGGAGAATGCATATTCCACATCTGGGAATACTGCTGGCTTTGATCCATAAAACCACTCAGAAGAAAACCGTGTCCGAATGGGGGCCAGAGCAACAGCAGGCTATGTCTATGCCCTAAAGAAAGCGGTCTCACCCTCCCTGCCTTTAGGCCCTTATGATCCACATTCAGACATGATTTGGGGGGTGTCTGCCACATGTGAGACTGGAGCTTATGGCAAAAACCTGAGAACACCGCCCTACAGCGACCACTGGGATTCTGGACTAGAAAGCTTCCAGATGCTGCATCACAGTACATGCCATTTGAAAAGTAATTACTCGCCTGCTGTTGGGTGTTGAATGAGACCGCCTCAATGACAGGAGGACATAAAATCATCATGTCTTGGGTGATGTCAGAGAAACACTCTAATAAGGAAGGCGGTGTCCAAAATAGTTTCATAATAAAATGGAAATGGTTCATACAAGAACAAGCTACTAGGGGAATGCAGGGAGACACCCACCATATCCACAGGCAGGTAGTCTCTTTTCCCATAGGTCCTACCCTGGAACTGCCTGAGAAGCTGCCAGAGCCCATTTCTACATGGAAAGTGCCCTATGAACAACTTTCTGCTGACTAGCAGAAGGCTGCTTGGTTCATGGATGGCAGTTCCAGGGTACATCGACAACATTTGATGTGGAAAGCTGCTGCACTGAGACCAGCAGATGGAAAGACCCTAATTAAAGAAGGTAAGAACAATTCAGCTCAATGTGCTGAACTGCATGCTGTCTTCCTAGCCATGATGGAAGAATTGGACAATGGTAAGAGCCCATATGTTTGGATTTTTATTGATTCATGGGCAATGGCCAATGGACTGGCTATATGGTCAGGCAAATGAGTGATGGAAAGTTGGACTTATTAAGGGGACACCCGTGTGGAGAATAGATCTATGGAAAGCATTCTGGGAATTTAGAGGATGTATTAGAGTAGGACATGTCGATGCCTATCAGAAGAACCCCTTTCTTGGACTGGAAGGTGACTGGAATCAGCAAGTGGACCTGTTGGTATGCTCACTTGTGGTAGCCAATTGGGTCCATGAAATGAGCATACATGGGGGTGCTGCAGCAATGCTGAGCTGGACTGAATCTAGACACATCCCTGTTGCACCTGTTGAGGCACAAAATGCCAGTAAGGACTGCTCTGTCTGCCAGCAAGAAAGACAGAGGTTGCAGATGGCTATGGGGTAGATTCCCCAGGAGGAAGGCCCTGCACATGGCTGATTATATTGGCAAGTTGATTATATCAGACCAATGATGCCAATGGCACCAGGTGGCTACAAATGGGTCCTCACAGGAATAGATATTTACTTTGGACTGGGCTTTGTATATCCCGTGACAGATGTAAATGCCAAAAACACTGTTAAGGGATTGGAACATAAGATATTGTATCAATTTGGGCCACTGAGTGTCATTTCATCAGACCAAGGAACACACTTTACAGCCCACAGGGTGCAGCAATGGGCCAAGAAACATCATATTAAATGGATGTACCATATTGCATACCACCCTCAGAGTGATGGTTTGATAGAGAATTGGAATGGGCAGTTGAAACATTTATTATCTAAAATAAGGGGAGATAAAGGTATGAAGGGCTGGCTCACACACCTTCATGAGTGTGTGCTCACACTCAACATGAGGGGGCAAAGGATCACCACTAGACAGATTCCTATGCTTCTTTGGGGGATCTGGGGAAGAGGGAGTGGGGAGGATGCTGGTGCCACTGTATAGTTCTTCCCCACATGACTTAAAATTGCTTTTTTCTTGCCAGATACTGTGGTCCCAGGACCAGGGATGTAGCTGTGGGTGCCAGAACAAGGGGTGATCCCTAAGCAAGAGACTGTAACTATATCCCTGAACTGTGTGCCAGAATTCCTAAGGGCCTGATGGGATAGAATGTACCTTCACACCATCTGGCAAAATTGGGGTTGACAGTGAATATTGCCATATTGCCTAGTAGTAGAGATAGGCACTAGTACAACCACTAGCATTGTCCCTATGTAACCCTATCCAACATGAATGGGAGTGGATGGAGGGGGAAGCACTTGCTAGACTGGTCTCGCTACCAGCAACCTGGACTGGCACAGCATCTGAACCTGATGTCCCTTCCTAAGGTGCAAAAATTTGGGTAAAAATAAATGACAAATGGAAGGAAGGAAAAATAATAGCCGAAGGTAAAGGAATGAATAAATGAGTTATGCCGTGGGGGAAATCTAACATTATGCTGATACCTTGAGAGAGGCTCAGACCAACGGAATAATCTTCTCTCAGTTAAATTTGATCAGGGGCTACAAAGCATGAATCTGAGACAACTCTTGGAGAAGCTGACCAGATCTCATGGACACCGGCAGCAGACCTCAATGGTGGGTACCTGAGTAACCTCACCCCGAACGCTTTGCCCTACTGAAGGACTTATTTATTGTTAATGACTGTTTTTGACTGGTGAAATGATTGGGAGGGGTAACTTAATCCTTCAAGTACGAAAGGGCCAATGGCTAGAAGAGCCAGAGGGTGGCCTGTAGTGCAGTAAATTAATTAATATGGCCCTTCTAGCCATAGTCTTTGTGACTCCTACACAATGATCGTGTGGGACTATGCAAATAAGATGTTTGTAGCCCACCAAGGGGATTGGATAGCTTGCTAATAATGCAAATAAGTTCTGTGGAACCCTGGGGGGGGGGGGTGAGACCATGCAAATAAGGTGTACTGAACCCGAGCGAGGAGATTGGTCAGTTTTGCCATCCTACTAAGCTTAAAATGAGCCATCCCAGAAGCAGAAATGAGGGCCCTCACTACCACCAAGAAGAGACAGGAGCAGAGTATGTTCTTTGGACCCAAGGTCCCTGCACTGAGAACTTCCTAGACCCAGGAGTCAGAGACAGTGCAAGGTGGTGGGAAGCGGCAGCAGACAAACAGTGGCAGCAGAACCAGGAGACTGGCACGAGACAGTACAGTGGGCTTCCCAGTTCACAGAGCAAGGCAGTTACAGTGGGTGTACTGACCCACAGAGCGAGAGAGCTGAGTGCCTTCGGGCCGAGGCTTACTGGTGGAGCGAGGTGCCTCTGGGCACTTATTGGTAGAGCTAAAGAGCTTTGTAACATTTGCCAGAGCAGGGCAGAAGCCGGGCCAAGGGGTCGAGGAGCCGAGGGGCCAAGGGCCAGAGAGAGCTGTGCCTGTGGGCACAGCTGAGAAGCTATCCTGATCAAAGAACTGTATCCTGAGCCGTTCCTGATCCTGAATTGTAACCTGTTACTTCCTGAACAAACCCCATAACTCTAAGTATGGTCTGTGAGTTCTGTGTGGCCATTGCAATGAATCGTTGAACCCAGAGAAGAAGTAGAGAGTGCCGTGGGAGGGACAGTTGGTGCCAGAATTGGTAACAAGGTTGGAGACAGGAGGCATTTCTGACCTCTGCCTCACAGGAATCAGCCATGGGCTGATGACCTTGATTCTTCCCCCTTGTGAAGTTCAACAAAGAGGTCCGACGACGACACTGCCTCCTTGCCATTTTTACAGCAGGTGAAGATCAAGGACCGTTGAACTGCATGTTCACATGAAAATGGTTTTATTCAATTTCAACAATAGGGAGCACAACGGCTGGAGGATGGCTAGAAGCTATTACTAGGTACTCTGACCTACTTGTGAAGAAGTGAGAGTTTCTAATTCTGGCACTCTGACAGATCCGCTGTGCAGGACATACAGCAGAACCCTTTAGCAATAAAGGTGGGAAAGTGTTTAATGAAGTGATATTTGGTATAAATCCTGAATCAAACTCGAGGTTTTCCCTGAGCAGGAAGGAACTTATTGTGAGGATTAATCTCTGAAATAAGTTTGGTATATCCCCCAAATGCAAAGCTCTTACTAAGAGAATACCAAAAAAAAAGAAAAGAAGAAACCGAACCCATTGCTGTTGATCGATCCTGACTCATGGCAACACCGCATGTTACAGAGTAGAACTGCTCCATAAAGTTTTCTTGGCCCTAAACTTTACAGAAGCAGATCTCCAGGACTTTCTTCCATGGTGTCGCTGGGTAGATTCGAACTGCCAATCTTTAGGTTAGTAGTCAAGCACAAATCGTTTGTGCCCCGCAGGGACCTTACTAGTTGGGGGAAACAAAATTTGGGTCTTATTGGACTGTTCCCGAAAAATTCAACATCTTCTGTGTCAAGCAGGCATCAAAATAGTTTCTGATACTATATGGGCTAAAAGTAATGATTTTAGGATGTATTTTTTTTATTATTATTTAGAAACTATCAGTCTAAGAATAAATAAATGAACAAGGCAAAGGAGGTGTTTTCCCTTGAGTTTTTGTTCAGCTTTTCGAAAACTGGACAATGTTATTTTAATACCTAGACTTTTATATTTGGGCATAATCATCAATTTTATTTTTCCACAAAAATTATATCTCAGTCTCTTGTAATTTTTGTTCCAAATGTATAAGTTACAATTTATTACAATATACTATCCTCAAAAAAAAAATATGAAAAGCCATAAATATACAAAACTGAGAGTTAACTATGTAAACCCCACTCATTAGCCCAATAGTGTTTTGAAAGATGTAACAAGAAAAAGCTCCATCCCATGAAAGGTGTTTTGTAATGCCACAAAGAGTAAAATACTACAGGTCATAAAATGGTTACTTCCTGGAGCATAAATTAAAGTTGTTGTATGAGCCAATGGGGGCACTCTCATAGATAGCAAATTCCCTCTCATAAGCTACGCCTGGAATCCTCACCCCCTACTCCTTACACACATACATACCACACCCACACACACCACACACACACACACGTACCACACACGCACGCACCACACACACACACACACACCCAACTGCATGGGGGCCTCACTCTTCATGAGATAGCAGACTTTACTGAGAATACACTGCTGGAGCTGGGGCCAGGAAACGCCTCTGTCTTCCCTCACCAGGAAAGGTGGCCCAAACCTGAAATCCCAAGGAAAACAGGTAATTTCAGTAAAGGAAAAAAATATATATCCAACAATCATCAGTGTTTGGACTCCTCTCAGTTGGATGATGGAAGAGTTAAGCATGAAATACAAGGCTTTGTACACAGTAGGTGCTCAATGCATAACTGCCAACCATATACCCGGGTCACACAATCCCCATTACAAATGGAGACCAGTTGCAATCGAGTCAACTGGCTCATGGTGACCCCATGTGTATAGAGTAGAACTGCTCCATAGGGTTTTCAAGGCTGTGACTTTTCGAAGCAGATCACCAGGCCTGTCTTCTGAGGTGCCTCTGATGGGTTCGAACCACCCAACTTTTTGGCTAGAAGTCAAGCATTTAAGCATTTGTGCCACCCACGGTCTCCTAAATGGAGACATTAGGATGTAAACAGAGGCCCAAAGACACAAAACCAAGGAGACATTGCAGTGTAAATACACCATTCCTAAATGATCAACTGGCTGATAAATTCTCTTCCCTACAGTAGAGAGAGTCCCTGGGTTGTGCAAACGTAATGCCTGGGCTGCTAACTGAAACGTTAGAGGTCTTCCAGAAGACCTGACAACCTACCTCCAAAATATCAGCCACTGAAAACCCTATGGAGCACAGTTCTACTCTGACAAACATGGGGTCATCATGAGTCGGGAGTCAACTGAAGGGCAACTGGTTACAGTAGAGACGAAGAGTAAGAGAACAATGGAACGAGAGGAAAGCAAGGCAGAGATAAACCCAAAGGGAACCCAGTCCAGTTGACATAAGTGTCAGTTTTGTGTCTCAGGAATATTTTCATAACTGAGCATATTTTCCACATCCCAGATTCATAAGCATTCAGCAGTGAGGTTGCAGTGCTAAGAACACTGTATATGAATGTGGCTGTCAATCCTAGCTCTATCACGGGCGCCTCTGGATGGATCACGGAGCCACTCACTGCTCCCCGGCCACACCACATGAGGTTGTGGTGAGGATCCAATGAGGTAAGAATGTGAAACTGTTGGGTAAACTTTGGTAAAACACAGTCCAAACATGAGGTGGAATGTCTGTATGGGCAAGGGCACTAGGCATTCATTGTATGGACAGATCAGTTTATTTAACTAACGCTCTATTGCTAGGCATGCAGGTGGCTTCAGAGTTTTTATTTAAACAATACTTGTTTATTTCAGGAGCTCCATATGTTCTTCTACCTACATCTTTGAGTGCACCTGACCAATTGTTTCTTTAGGATAAATTTCCAGAAGTAGAAATGCAAGGCCAAATTTTTAATCGTCCTCCAGAAAAGTCATACCAATTTACCAGTAAGGTCAGTACCAGATTCCCTGGTCTCTTCCCCAGAATGAGTATCATTAATTTTCAAAAATTCTTTAACAACCTAAAGGGTTAAGAATGGTATCTTGCTATTGCAAACAGAATTTCTTCTACTACTAATGAAGCTGAATATATTAACCTATGCTTGTATTTCTCCTGTGAACTGTTGTTAATCTTTGTGACTCATATTTCTAAGTGCGCTTGTCCCTTTCTTAATAATTTGAGAGAGCTAGGTTTTCTATGATAGGTCACAAGCCTTCACCTGTCACATGGTGTAAATATTTTTTGTCATTTGTCCTCTGCCTTTCAAATTTGCCTCTAGTTTCAAATTTGATATTTTAAATACATTTAATTTTTTCCTTTATAGCTCCCTATCTTAGGTACTAAAATAGCCCCCTACCCAAAGACATAAATATTCCCTTATATTGTCTTCAGAAAGTTATTTTAAGCTTTCCTTTTTTATAATTATCTCTCTAACCAACCTGGAATTTATATATGGGAATTTATGGTGGGAGTAAAAGAATGATTATTTAAAAAGAAAAACATCAATTAGCCCAGCCTCACTTATTAAATAATTCATTCATTCCCTAGTAGTATGAAACATCTTTTTCATTATAGGATAAAAACTTACATACAGTTTGGCCTATTCTGTTCTTTTGATTAATTGTATATTCTTCTGACCATATCGCAATATATTAACTAAAAGTTTATTCTGTTTAACAGTACAATCCCTCTTCCCCCACCCCACCCTTCCATATTTTCTGGGTATTCTTACCAGTTTATTTCAGATAAATTTGAGAAACATTTTCTCAATCTACAACTTTTTATTGGAATTCTATCTTTTGAACTTTATTCGAACTATGTAAGAAAGCTATCTGGGTTTGTACAGTTGTGATGTAATCAGTCACTTTCTTGAACCCTTTCATTGGTTCTAATCACTTTCCAGTCCTTGGTTTTCTAGACAATCATATAATCTACAAATACTGATAATTTTATCTCCTCTTTCCTTATACCGGTTGCTGCTGAGTTGATTCCAACTCATAGCAACCCTACAGGACACAGTAGAACTGCCCATAGGGTTTCCAAAGAGTGGCTGGTGGATTTGAACTACAGACCTTTTGGTTGGCAACCAAACTCTTAACCTCTGTGCCACCAGGGGTCCTCTTTCCTTTTAACCAGCTCTGTTTTCCTTGTCTTGTTGTACTCCCTTATAGTATATTGTAAGGGACATAATATAAAATTTATATTATAAATATAAACATAATATAAAATATTAATGGTGAGAGCAGGAATCTTGCTTCTGCAATTAACAGGAAAACCTCCAATGTTTAATTGTTAAGGATGATATTAGCCATCTGCTTAAGGCAGATATTTTTGATCCTCCTGATCAGAAAGTACTCTACCTCCAGTTCCTGGTTTATTACTTGGGAATACGTTGTTGTGGTGGGCGGCCATCAAGTAGGCCCCCGACTCATGGCAACCCCATGAACAACGGAACAAAACGCTGCCCTGTGCCATCCCCATGACCAAAAGCAGATCAAACCTCTGTGATCCATAGGGTTTTCATTGGCTGATTTTCAGAAGTAAATCACCAGACCATTCCTCCTAGTCCATCGTTAGTCTGGAAGTTCTGCTGAAACCTGTTCAGCATCATAGCAACACACAAGCCTCCACTGACAGATGGGTGGTGGCTGTGCGTGAAGTGCATTGGCCGGGAATTGAACACAGGTCTCCCGCATGGAAGGCAAGAATTTTACCACTGAAACACTACTGCCCTCACTTGGGAATATGTTGCATTTTATCAAATTAGAATCACTCTAGACAGAATCCCAAGTACATGTCAAAAATCTCAGATATCACATTTAAAAAAAAATAATAAAAAGGATGAGCTACACATACCTGCTAGCCTGCTGCCCTGACCCCACCAAGTTACAGAAGAGGATTAGCACCTTGTTCTCTTGCTGGCCTTCATGGGTTGCCAAGCGGGGGGAGACCGGCCGACCAGATGGATGAACTGGAAGAGAGAGGGTTGAGTTTGCATTCTTCAAGGATCTGTTCCTGGGTCAGAACCTTAGTCTCTCTAACCCCTGTTTGCCTTTGAGCATCTATGAGCCACCAGTGGGACAACACTAGAGGGCTTCAGGAAAGGATATAAGAAGGGTCTGGCTCCTGGGTCACCTGGCATACAAAAATCACACACATGGCGGTTAATCTGCAGTTGTGGTCAGTCAATCCTTTTCCAATAAGGGCAGGGATTTAATTAACACTTTCAAAGGCAATCTGACAAATACTCCAAAATGGTTTTGGTTGCTTTTTTGCCTTGATCAGAGAGCCCCAGAGCAGCCTCTCTCTTAGAAAGCCAACATAAGAAGAACACAGAAGGTGAGGATCTTCACCACTGAAGAAGTAAGGCAAATGATGGACTACCCTCAACTCCCTGTCAGTTCTGAAACTTTGGCTTTCAAGGCAAAGATGTGCCCCCTGTGATGGAATGTGAAATGAGTTATAACATAATCAGGGTCAGTCACGTCTAGTTAGTTTCCATGCCCTGAATAACCCTGTAGACTTGCAGCACCTGAAGACCTCCAGGCTGAGAGTATGGGGCCAGGGCATAGGAGTCATCAGGGAATTTGATAACATTGTCACAGAAGCCTTTAAACATGGGTCTTCTTGACTGTTTAATTGGTCCAAAATGTATACTGACCAGCAAGGAAAGACTGTCAGAAATGGACCACTTTAGCTAACCCAAAGTTTAGGGAGAGTAGGCTTTTGGAAGTGAACTGTTAGCAAAAAGTTACTAACTCCCACTTTTGTATCTACTGATCAAATCTGTAAAAGTTTTATTCAAAGCACAGACCTGGGAGCATAACAACACTGAAGACAGACATCACCCAGCACCTACACTGAATGGCGAGTCTTACAGTATGGTCCCCAGGACCAGCAGCATCAGCATTACCTGGGAACTTGTTATTATGCAGACGTTTGGATCCCATGCCAGATGCACCAAATCAGAAACTCCGTGGGTGGAGCCCAGCAATCGGCTTTAACAAGCCACCCAGTTGATTCTGATACTCTCCAAGGTTTGAGAATCCTTGTACTGTATTTTAGCTAAATAAGTTTTAATACAGTCATCTCTACACCAAATATTGGGGGCCTGGGGGGTGGGGACCAGGGTAAATGTCTTATACCTTAGCCCTCAGTGAGTACCCTCTCAAACCTATAACTCAAAATATCCCAACAGAATGATGCAAAGCACCATTGTACCTGAGGGTTTCCCCTGGCCAGGTGATGAAGGAGCGTGAAAAGCATACACATTGTCTCCCTCTGCAATGGTATTCAAGTCGTCCTCATCAAAGAAGGACCGATGGAATCCACTGGGATGCAGTTCCACCAAGATCACCTAGAATGAGGAGGATCATTTTCCTTCTTGTTTTCTCAAAGAGAACTTAGCAAACAATAATTCTGAAAGTGGCTGACAGTCTTACAGCCCTCTTTGCCCTTTCCTTCCTTTTGACTAAGTGCTTCCTTATTTTTAGTTAAGGAAACACAGTAGGTATAACAATTAGATTGATCAAAGACATGTCAACTGCAACAACGGAATATCATCAAAGCGTTGGGGGGAGAAGGAAAAAGAAAGTGTGATCATAGTTGTTAGGTGTCGTGGAGTCACTTCCAACTCATAGTGATCCTACAGGACAGAGGGTTTCCAAGGAGCGACTAGTGGATTTGAACTGCTGACCTTTTTGGTTAGCAGCCAAGATCTTAACCACTATGCCACCAGGGCTCATAGGTAATAAGTGGAATGACCTGGCCAGTTAAAAAAATCAAAATAGCTTTTAAGTTCCAGCCAAATATCTCCCTGAACAAGCACATGTTGTTGTTGCTGTTAGTTGCCATGGAATGAGTCAACTCTAACTCAAGGCAATCCCATGTTGCAGAGTAGAACTGGTCCACAGGGTTTTCAAGGCTGTGACCTTTCAGAAGCAGATCACCAGCCCTGTCTTCCAAGGCACCTCTGGGTGGGTTTGAACCGCCAACTTTTTGGCTAGTAGTCAAGCGCTTAATGCTTAATCGGTTGCGCCACCCAGGGACTCCAACAAATACATCATACCTCTCAAACTCCTGAGTGTCCTTCTACTCCATTATTTACACTTGACCTCTCACAGATGTCCTCATTTTGATCTTTTATTACTGCCATTTTTTCCCAAGCGCTCTCACCCACTGTTCTACTCTCTCTCTCTCAACAGGTCCCTGTAGAGTACTGTAGAGTTTACAAAGGAATATAGATAAATATTTTTCCATTTGATCCTCATGAAGATTCTAGGAGGTGACGGTAGAGGTCAGAGGAATGGACTGGGTGGGGGCAGGAAGGAGCCTGCAGAGATGATGGAAATGCTTGATGCCCATGGTAGTTACACAGATGTGTACATCTGAGAAAATTCAATACTATATAATTTTAAGACATATTACACTTTATTGTATGTTTTATACCTTAACAAAAAAAAAAATTTTTTTTAACTTAAAAATATCCCATGAGCTAGGCAGGGAAGTGACTATTTCCATCTTATAGTTAAAGAAACAGAGATTCAATCACTTACTTTGTCCAAGGTCAGAAAGCTCCCAAGTGACTGAATGGCAATTAGAAGCCCTCCCCTTACCCGTAGTGGGGGGCCCTGCTATGAGCTCTGTGCCCTAAAGTTATAGTGAATCCATCCTGTCACCAAGACCCCTTTAAAAAAAAAAGAAGAGAGCCATCCCAGCTTCCCCCAAGTCTCCTCTCTCATGCTAAGCACCCTCCGTTCTCTCAGTTGTTCTCGAATTCCTTTTATCCTCCCTTTAGTATCCTGGTCTGTTTTCTTAGGAGTGAAAATACAGAAGAGTAGCTCAGGCTCTGAAATCAAACCATCTACATCCAAATCTTGCCTCAGCCACTTACTGGCTGTGTGACCTTGGGGCAAGTCACTTGACTTCTCACCGCCTCTTTTTCCCTCATTGGTAAAATGGGAATAATTGTAACATCTATTTCACAGGTGGCTGTGAGAACTAAACTGCCTAGGAATATAAAGTTCAAAGAATAGTGCACAACACATAGTGAGCCCTATGGAGGGTTGGGTCTTATTAGAATGATTACGATCATAATCATCATCATCTTGGAAGACAAAAGTGTCCTTTTCTGGTCATTCTGTGTAATGCAGGGAGAGGCCAAGGCCCTGTCATCACAGGCCCCAGATGCTAATCAAACAGAAATCCATGAGTCACACTGGAGTCACCTGGAATCACACATTAGCCTAACAGCCTAGGTGGCTGGCCAAGTAAACACCCCACCGTCCGGTGACCGGCCCTCATGGAAGTGTAATTCCACCACACCTCGTCTGCAGGGATGTTGCCTTCGTCTGCAACCATCTTCCTCAGAGCTGCCACTGTGCTGAGGATCGGCACAGCCAGGCCAACCCGCACGAACCGCTGGCTCTTAGATGGGAAGACCAAGATGATGCTCAAGAATCTGGAAAATAGGAAGAGGGCCACATCCTTAAAGGACTGACAGGAACTGTCACAAAACTAACACCATTGACACTGGGCGGAGTTCAGCACTTAGACTAATCTCTGCTTCCCGGTTGTGTCCCGCACCCTAGGTATACTGTCACCAGGTGGCAGTGGAGAGCCAAATTTCCCAGGGTCTCAGCTGAGAGTGCTTTTCCAGTGAGTTAAAAAAAAGGCGGGGGGAATATTTGATTAAGAATCACCATACAGATCTATAATCTGAAGGATCAATTTGATAAATTGATAATCTTGAGCAAAAGCAAAGGAAGTTTGAAATGTAAAGCAGTCAGGCTGCTTCTTCCAGTACAATTCAACACTATTAATGATGCTCTCCTTACTGAAATTCTCGCTGGGTATTGAGCCCTGGTGGCGCACTGGTTAAGCACCCAGCTGCTAACCGAAAGGTTGGCAGTTTGAACCCACCCAGTGGCTCCAACAGAGAAAGACCTGGTGATCGGCTTCCATAAAGATTACAGCCTAGGAAACTCTATGGGACAGTTGTGCTCAGACGTGTGGGGTTACTATGAGTTGGAATCGACTCAACAGCACCTAACGACAACATTGGGACATAGCCATTTTGCCCTCAATTTCTCTAGACCCTTTCTCTAGTTCCACTTCCTACTACCCCCACCAGCACCCAAGACTCACTCCTCCAGCTACTGTTTCTCCTGTTCTCCACAGTAGATGTACTCTTTCAATTCTCACCCCAACCCTCTGAAGTAGGTACTATCCGTCTCCTTATTTACAGACGAGCAAACTGAGGCACAGAGAGGTTAAGAAATTATACAAGTCATACAGCTCATTAGTAGGGCTGGGATTTCAACCCCGGTGGTCTGGCTCCAGCATCAGTGAGCCTAACCACTGCGCTATTCTGCATCAGGCCAGGAATCTTCGGGCACATCTATCCGTCGACAATATCTGATGGTGTCCTTGATGATGAGAGCATGAGCCAGTGTTATATTTGTGGCGCAGACGATCAGTAGCACAGGATTTCAGAGCAGAAAGGGTTAAGTTGCCAAGGAAGGCTTTATGAAGAGGTCATGTCCTCAGCTGCATCTTAAAAATGCAGGATTTCAGTGGGTAGAGGACAAGAGAAATGGTAGTGATGGAGATGGGAAGTACCTTCGACAATGAGGCAGGTTACCAGGAAACCAAGCTACATAGGACAGAAGCGAAGGTGACCAGTCTGACCACAGCAGACAGCGGTGAGAGAGCAGGGGAGAAGTGGGGCTGGAGTAAGCAAAGTTGCCACTGTCTTCTGGGTTCTGTTTCCTAACTCAAAGAAGAAATGTTGCTGTTGTTGTCATTGTTGTCGTTCTTGTTAGCGGCCATCAAGTCGACTCTGACTCGCGGCAACACTGTGTGCAGCAGAACAAAACACTGCCTGGTCCTACACCATCTTCATGATCATTGGCACATTGGAGTCCAGTCAGACAATATTCTGTTCTGATCCATAGGGTTTTCATTGGCTAATTTTCAGATCACCAGGCCTTTCTTCCTAGTCTGTCCTAGTCTGGAAGCTCTACTCAAACCTGTCCACCATGGGTGACCCCGCTAGTATTTGAAATACTGGTGGCGTAGCTTCCAGCATCACAGCAACAGGCAAGCCACCACAGTGCAACAAACTAACAGACGGGTGGTGGAAAGAAGAAATGCCTCCATCTTAATGCCAGTGAAGGTCCTTCATACAGGGTAGGAGCTCACTAGAATTTCATGACATTGACATCGGCCGGTTGCCACAATGGCCATTGCTAAGACTTGGGCCTCTACATCCTCCTTACTGTTAGAGATCCAAGGCCCCACACCTCTTACCCAACCCTATCTCCTCTTTTCTTTTCCTTATCTCCCCCCACAACCCTTTTCTTTTTTCTTTGCTCCCTGGAAAGGCCTGTTTTCTATACCTTCACAAAGAAGAAAAAGATTTGAAAATAAAGCAAGGAAAATTAGGTGGCGACAGATTTTCTCTGGTTTGCCCCTGTCTGACCAAGCGATCCTAATTGGCCAGTGCCAATTTCTGAATGGGCCAAAGATGCAAGCCTGGCAATGGTGCTGATGAACAAAACCAATCTGTTTATATTTTGTTTCTCAGCTAACGAAGGGACACGGTAACCTTTCACTTTAATTGTCACATCTAACAACATTACCCAGCTACAAGACAAATTTCTAGGGAAATGCTGGCTGAGGACAACTCAACATTACCCAGCTACAAGACAAATTTCTAGAGAAATGCTGGCTGAGAAGCAAAAGAGAGAACACTGCAGCTGCAAGGTACGCATGAAGTGATGAGCATGCATGAAGCCGAGCTCTCTGGGTGTGCTGAGACACCCACATACCTGGTCTGGCGTAAAGGGATGGGTAGCGACACACACAGGAAAGGATCGAAGGTGTTGCTCTGTTTCAGGCAGTGGGGGCAGGTCAAGGAAGATCTGTGGGGGAAAAGACAGAGATTAAAGTTTAATCACACTTACTAGTGCTGCCAAAGACCTCTCTAAAGTTTTAAAAGGCAAAGATGTCACTTTGATGGACTAAGGTGCACCTGACCCAAGCCATGTTCTTTTCAACTGCCTCATATGCATGTGAAAGATGGACAATGAAACAGAAAGAAGAACTGACGCATTTCCATCGTGGCGTGGGCAAAGAATATTGAATATATCTTGGATGCCAGAAGAACTAACAAATCAGTCTTAGCAGAAATACAACCAGAATGTTCCTTAGAAGCGAAAATGTGGAGACTTCGACTTGCTTACTTTGGACACAGCATCAGGAAAGACCAATCGCCGGAAAAGGACATCATGGGTGGTAAAGTGGAGGGTTGTGGCAAAGACGAGGGAGGCCTTCGGTGAGATGGACTGACACAATAGCCGTAACGATGGACTCCAACACAGCAACAATCACGAACATGGCGCAGGACAGGGCAACGCTGTGAGTCGCAGCCAACTTGATGGCAACGAACAAGAACGTCAGTGCGTTGAGAATGGGAAGGGAGCTTCCACCCCTCCAAGGAGATGGAAACATGCCAACTTTCAAGCTTCCAGGGATCTCAGGGCCATCTATCCCTGGTTCACAGCACAACTGTGCCCCAGAATCACATAGGAAGCTGTGTAAAAATGCACATGTCCAGGCCCTATTCCCAGAGATTCTGTTTCAACTGGGGTATGTTGGGGCCCAGGCGTTAGTATTTTTAAAAGCTCCCAGGTGGTTCTAGCATTCTCCCAAGGTGGAGAACCACTGAAGTAGTTCAACCTCCTTATTGCACTGATGTGGAAACAATCAAGTTCAGAAAATAGCAGCTAATAGTAGTTGCTAGAATTGACTCAAAGGCAATTGCTTAATAGCTAACCTTTAAACGGTGTTTACTAAGTACTGGGCATTGTTCTGAGCGTTGCACATACATAAACCTATTTACTACCCATAACAACCACTTATGGGGGTACATACTAACATTATCCCTATTTTACAGAGGAGAAAATTGAGGCACAAAGAAGTTAAGTAACTTGCCCAAGAACACACAGCTTTTAAGTGACAGAGCTAGGTTCAGGCTCTAGAGTCTATACTCGTTATCATTCCTGCAGAACCTTTTATATAAGGGAGTGAGGCATCATTTCTTTTTCAGAGTAGATATATACACAGTTATTCATATTCTCTATATTCCCTTGGAGGCCTGGTGGCAAAATAGTTAAGAGCTTGGCTGCTAACCTAAAGGTTGGCAGTTCGAATCCACCAGCTGCTCCTTAGAAACCCTATGGAACAGTTCTACTCTGTCCTATAAGGTCACTATGAGTGAGAATCGACTCAGTGGCAATGGGTTTGCGACCCCATGTGTGTCAGAGTAGAGCTGTGCTTCCTAGGGTTTTTAATGCCTGATTTTTCACAAGTAGATTGCCAGGCCTTTCTTCTGAGGCAACTCTGGGTGGACCTGAACCTCCGAACTTTCAGTTAGTAGCTGAGTGCGCTAACCATTTGCACTACTCAGGGACTCTGGAAAAAAAAACATAGAATGATCTAATTTTATGTTTAGAGAATGAGGAGAATGTATTGTTTTCATAATATAAACCACGCAGAATGTGAAAGATGCTTGTTTCTTGGAGTGAGTGTGATCAGCAGGTTAGGAAGAAGAAGGAGAAGCAGCTTCACTTACACAAAAAACGCCAGATGTTATCAGGATACAGCAATAGCCCAATGTGGCCTGAGAGGCCCTCTCATCCTTACCGTGCCCTGCAGAGCATGGACAGTCCTATTCTATGGGCCCCTCCTGCCCCAGGTTCTCACTGGGAAAGAAAATCACCCCACTGCCCTTCAATCTGCACTTGCCCAGTTTTCTAAGGTATTCTCCTTATCAAATTCTATCTGTTACAAAGCAAACCTAGTCAGCTGCTACCAAACCCAGAACTGTTATTTGCTTGCCACCAGCTGCAGATGCCCAGAAATGGGTCCCAGGTTTTGATGCTGCACATTTTGCCATTCTGACCTTCCACGGCTGCTGAATGCACACCTGACGCCTCTAATCTGGTCAACTTTACCTATATCACCAGACCGTGGAGCAGATATCCAAGCAAATGATAGCAATTATGACAACCCAGAAGCAAGGTTTCCCCTCTCCATGATGTGTCCTAAAAAAACCTTCAAAAACATATTGTTGTTATTAGCTGCCATTGAGTCAGCTCCGACTCATGGCAACCCCACGTACAACAGAACAGAATGTTGCCCGGTCCTGCGCCATTTTCACGATCCTTGGTATGTTTGAGTCCATTGTCGCGGCTATTGTGTCAATCCACCCCACGGAGGGTTTCCTCTGTTTTCGCTGGCCCTCTACTTCACCAACCATGGTGTCCTTCTCTAGTGACTGATCAAAAATATATTCTGCCTATATGTATATTTTCAACAAAAAAAAAAAAAAAAGGTTAAGAAGGGAGAGGGTTGACATGTCATGGGGTTGTTAACCAATGTCATGAAACAGTATGTGTACTGACTGTTTAATGAGAAGCTATTTGTTCTGTAAACCTTCACCTGAAGTACAATAAAAATATATATATATATAGATTCTGCCTAAAAGAAAATACTGCCTGGAATAGGGACTACAGGTTATACTTTCCACAAACAAAGGCTACTAATTACATGAAGAACTTAAATACACACACACACCCCACACACACACACACACACTCCCTCCTCTAGCCATAAGTCCAACGTAGCAACAATCCTTGGTGATTCAACTCGCGGATGTTTCCAGGTTGAAGTAACAACCATACAGAATAACTAACATTTATCCCGATGGTCTACAACCTCCAGCACCCTACCACTATCCTTCCTTCTCTCCAACCAAAATCAAAAACGCAGCCCCCGCCATGGGTGATGGTCACCAAACATGATTAATGCGATTGACATCATGAAACTGTATACCTGAAAAATGTTGAACTGGCAAATGTTGGATTACATATATTTTATAACAATTAAAACAAAAAAAAAAAAGAAAGAAAAAAACCCAGCCCCCTAAAAAGGCAAGGAGAAGGGATGGAGGAGGGACAACCTCAATGAACAGAAGCCGCTGAATTCGCCTATGATAGCACTTCCATCTCTCAATGCCATAATTTCATGATACCAGAGCAACTTCCCATCAAGCCCCCCAGTGGCAAGGAAGCCAAAGAGTAGCCAGAGCTGCAGGTACCACCACTCATGAGCATCAGCTTGGAGCTGGCCCCCAGTGGCTGCTGCAGAAAGTCACTTCTCAGACTGCAAGCACCCCAACCTAGATGGGTGCCCTGACTTCCTTTTTCTCTACTAGACTGCCAGGCATGAAGCAGGTGTCTTTAGCTGTCACTGGTCCGTTTATAGCATGAACATCTCACCTCATATTCATCATCCTACAGGGGAAAAATCTACCCAAAGGGCACTTGTAGTCCTTAGACTCTGATCAGCTCAAATGTCACTTCCTCAGGGAACCCCCTACCCCTGCCTGATTCACTCCACACTGAGTCAGGTACCTGTAATGTGCACATAAAGTTTTCCTTCAAAGAACTCGCCACTTATCATTATCTAAAAACCCAGACATCACCCTAGGTTCTGGTCTTCCCTCAGTCCCTCCACCCCACACTCCTAAACCCACTATAAGTCCTGTTGAATCTACATCAAAAACATATCTCAAATCTACTTCTCTCCACCTCCACCACTGCCTCTGGGCCCCAGCTGCCATCATTTTCTTTCTTGTTATTAGCCGCCATCAAGTTGGTCCCCAACTCAGTGCAGAATGGAACAAAACACTGCATCCCCATGATCACTTAGGAATTGGACCAGTGTGATTCAGAGGGTTTTCACTGTCTAATTTTCAGAAGTAGATCACCACGTCTTTCTTCCTGGTCTATCTTTGTCTGGAAGCTCCACTGAAATCTATTTAGCAACATAATGCAGAGGCCTCCACTGAGGGATGGGTGGTGGCTGCGCATGAGGTGCACTGGCCAAGAATTGAACCCAGGTCTCTCGCACGGAGGGTGAGAATTCTACCACTGAGTCACCACTGCCTCATCATTCTCTTTCTGCATCTCAACTACTGCTCCTGCTTCTATTCTTGCCATAACGACCAAACTAACTAGCTGATAAACTAGACAACGCCCTGCTTTAAACTTTCCAATGGCTTTCGGTGCCAGTTAGACTAAAGCCCGCACTTCTTACCCATGGACTGAAGACTGCACCGCCAGGTCCTGCCTACCTGTCAGCCTCATCTCCTACCCACTCACTACTTGACAGCTACAATGGCCTTTCTGATCCTTGAACTCGCCAAGAGTATTCCCACCTTAGGGCCTTCACCTTTGCTGTTGCCTCTACCTGGAATTCTCTGTCCCCAACTACTTGAATGAATGGTTGACACCTTGTCACTCAGCTCAAATGTCCCCTCTGAAAAGAAGCCTTCCCTGACAACCTCCCCCACCTCCCAAGTTACTCCCTATCATTTCCCTTATCACAGTCACAAGTTGTTTGTTTACCTCTGTAGTATCTAACACCTTCTCCAACAGAATGTGAGCTCCCTGAGAACAGGGACTGGGTCTTGTTCACAGCTCAACTCCCGGCACCTAGAAAAGTAGCCGGCACATAAACCAAACCACGTGCCGCTGAGCCGACGCTGACTCATGGTGACCGCTGTACGTCTGGGTACAACTGTGCTCCATAGGGTTTTCAATGGCTGATTTTTCAGAAGTAGACTGCCAGGACTTTCTTCTGTAGTGCCTCGGGGAGGACTTCAACCTCCAACCTTTCAGTTAGCAGCCAAACACAACTGTTTGTACCACCCAGGGACTCTACCTGGCACGGAGTAGGCATGAATTAAATATCTACACAATCAGTGAATACATATTTGATTGGTATTTCTGTCTCATGGACAGGGAGTTTTGCCCTCACTGTAACCACTGTACCAAGCACAATAGCAGGCACTTAAATATTTTGAGGAAGGAAAGGGGGAGAGGATTTGTGTAGACGAACAGGGAAAAGGCCAGAGAAAAGAGTGTCAGCAGAGAAATGAGTGAATTTCTTGTACAACACCACCAGCGAATTCTACCCAGTGGCAATTATTGGTGACCTCCCCCTACTCTCTAGAATGCCCCCTTATGTCCACCTTTCCCTTTTTCTAGACAGTCTTCTTTCTCTTCCTCTATTTTTCTCTTCCTCTGTTTCCTTAATTTTGTTTCTAGTAACCTCTGCTTTCGGCACCTCAAGACAGACACCCTACGAGTAGCTTTCATGGCTAAATAAGGTTGATAGCTATTATGGGTTGAATTGTGTCCCCCGCTAAAAGATATGTTCAAGTCCTAACCCCTGGTACATGTGAATGTGACCTTATTTGGAAATAGGGTCTTTGCAGATGTGATTAAGATGAGGATGGACCCTAATCCCTTACGGCTGGTGTCCTTCTAAGAACAGGAGAGAGATAGAGACAGACACAGAGGATGGCCGTGTGGAGACACAGGCAGAGACTGGGGCTACCCTACCACAAGTCAAGGAACACTTAGGGTGACCAGAAGCTGGACAAGGCAAAGAAAGAAGGCAGCCTTCAGAGGGAGTATGGCTCTGTCAACACCTTGATTTCAGACCTCTAGCCTCTAGAACTTCAAGAGAATAAATTTTTGTTGTTTTAAACCACCCAGTTTGTGGTACTTTATTATGGCAGCCCTAGGGAAATACTACCCGTACCCGTTGCCATCACATCGAAACCATAGAGTTTCCAAGAAGCGGCTGGTGGATTCAAACTCCCGACCTTTTGGTTAGCAGCCGAGCTCTTAACCACTGCGCCACCAGGGCGCCATGGGAACTAATATAGTAGACATGAAATTTAGGTTTCCTTTATTCATACTTCATAGTTTGTTACCACACCCCTCAGGAAATAAGTGGGCCTTTCTTCATGGACAACGATGAAATTTGTGCTCATTTAGAAGATATTTTCATAACTCAATATTCTAAGTGACCAAGGACAGAAATTGGGTGTCCCCTGGTCATTCTGGCTATTTCTTCAGGGTCCTCCTGTCTGGTGGAGCAGAGAACAAGAGAATGTCAAGTGCTGTGGATTTTCTGCTCCAGTGAAAAGCAGCTTTGGCATTCTTCCCGAGTGTTTCAGAGACTATCTGGTCTTCCTAAATAAATAATCACCCTCAAAGACAGTGATCATATCCTATTTATTTTACTGGCAATTACTGAACATAATATAAATCCTAAATCAGTTTCTGGGCAATTTTAAGTCACCTCCTTTCCAAACACAAAGAACACAAATCTTCAAAATAAGTGGACAGGAAGTATGGAAATAAATGGCTATAAGTGAATTCTACAAGACTGAATGATCATTTGAAGAAAAGTAAAAAATATGAAAAAAAACAAAAAAAATGGCCTATGAAAAACTGCAAAGCACAAGAAAAGGAATGGTACTCAGAAGACTCAGAAAAGTACACCTCTGAAAATGATTTAATGCAGTATTCAGAAGAAAACTATGTATTAAAATTTTCTTTAGTATTCACGGTAGAGAACAAGAGGGCATACTTTCTGTGCAACTGATGTAACAGCAGAAAATCATAAGAGAAACAGGTGAGATAGAAAAGCAAAAGAAGAGGAAGAATTACAAAGAAAACAAAAGCAGAACTTGTGCTTCAGAGACAGATCAGAGGACACATCCTGGTTGTCACTTACATGTGTCCTTGGGAAAAGCCCAACCTTCCAGATTTTAACACTCAAGTCCTGAGGCTCTTTTAAGGATTAAATAAAACATATATAGGCAAGTACCTCAGCTGGAGGAGGTTCTCTGTAACAACTGGCTTCCTCTAAGTCCAGATCACTGCGCACATCTCACCGTTAAGCTCGTGTTCATTCTTGTGGAATATGTTCCCACCCATTCAATCCTATTCACCCTTCAAAGCCCATCAAAAGATACACCTCCTCCATGAAGCGCAGGGGGATTTTGCCTCTGACCTCCCACTACAATTAGTGTTCTCACTAAAGCGTGGTACTTGAAAATGTTCTGCCTTGTGTGATTCTCTGATACTGTCATATATAAAAGTCCAAAAAGAATACATACTTTCTGAGTCAAAAGCCATGTAATTATATATTTTTTAATAACCTCCACAATGCTGGTATTCGACTCTCTGGCTTAAAAAAAAAAACAAAAAAAAACCAGGATAGGCTTCCCCTACTTGACAGTGACTGCTCACTGGTAAGACCTTGGCCTCCACATTCACACAAGGGGAGAAGCTGGAAGAAGAAGAAGAAGAATTACTAAAGGTCAGATAGGAATAAGTTGTTAAATGGAAATTAAAATGAGAGCGAGAAGGATATTTCTGGGTTTTGTTGTTTTTTTTTTAATCTCAGGGTAAATCTGGCAAATAATTACGTGGAGCCCTGGGTGAGGAAATCTAAAGACGTCCCATTCTTACCTATATTGTGCTTGAAAGTGGCTTTGCACAAAGCTTTGACCTAGAGGAAGCTGAGCAGTTGGTGACAGGTTCTCAGAGTTTTTACTGGCTTCAGGCTGAAGCTGCAAAAAAAATGAGGAAAAAAAGGAAGATTAGATGTACCTCAATCACTCAGCCTCTTTCAAATCATTGAGTCTACCGCCTCCTGCTGGGCCCATCATCCCTTTCTGGGCCTAGGCCTTGTACTGAATTTGTACCTTCAGTGTTGCCTTTACCATAACTCAATGCTCTTTTGATCCCTTGACCTCCCAAATTCCCTGATAGGCAGAAAGAAAATGTTGAAAGAGCAAAACTGAAGGATAAATGTTGACAAATGCTCACTCATACTCACCCCTCTTCATCTATTTCTTCTGGGTTGATGTTCTTTATCTCTATCTGTTCTTTATCTCTATCCTGCTGGCCCCATCTGTCTAGACGCCACTTGGGTGGGCTGGCATCACTTCCAACACATCCATACCAAATCTTCCCATCTTCCGCCCACTAACCTGTTCCTGTCCATATTTTCCAGTGAGCCAGTTTTCACATTAGCACCGTCTGTCCTGTTGTGGCCTTCTGTGCGTTCCCTTGAGAATTAGTTCTTGTGGCTGCTATAACAAGTTACTGCAAACTTGTGGCTTAAAACAACAGAAATTTATTCTCTCACAGTTCTGGAGGCCAGAAGTTTCACTGGGCAGAGATCAAGGTGTCCGCAAGGCCAAGCTCTCCCCAGAGGCTCTAGGGGAGAATCTGTTCCTTGCCTTTGCCAGCGTCTGGTGGCTGTCGGCACTCCTGGGCTTGTGACTGCATTACAACAATCTTCACGGCCAGCATCTTCAAATCTCTCTGCTCTGTCTTCATATCCCCTTCTCCTCCGTGTTTCTCAAATTCCCCTCTTCCTCTCTTTTATTAGGACACTTGTGATGGCATTTAGGACTCACACAGGTAACCGGGCATAATCTCCCCGTCTCAAAATCCTTCACTTAATCACATCTGCAAAGTCTTTGCCATATAAGGTAACATCTAGAGGTTTCAGGGATTAGGACCTAGTATCTCTGGAGGCCATGCACTGTAAAATTTTGGAATACAGTGTAGTGGACATATGTTTATCTTCTCAGCATTCCTTTCTTTGGGGAAGCAACCCGTCCCAATTCTAGAAAAGCCCTCTTTGGCCCACATAATTTGGTGGAGTTTCATTACCACAGGTATGCAACCCAGGATGCCCAATTAGAATATTCCCTTCTGCTGGCCACATGTCCATGGATGGACATGCAGACCAAGCTGAGACAATCAGATCCTTCAGAGACTACATAGCATTAGGATTGCAGGGGCCCTCTTGCCACCATATGTGCAGAGCTGGACTGAGAAGCCAGAAGAGCTAAAGAGATCAAAGACCAATGGCATTGTCTGAGTCCTTGAATCCTACCCTATCTGAAGCTGGTCTAACCCTTCGTCTACCTAGTTATAAAAGCCAAGAAATTCCTTTTCCTTAAGTTGAGTCAAGCGAAATTTTTGTCACTCACAACTAGAAGGATCTAGATAATATAAACAGAAAATCACTGTCAATAGAAGAAAAGCCACCCATAATCCCACAGCGAAGAGAAACCCACATAAACTTTTGGTGTATGGTACTCCCAGGTCTTGCTGCGGTGGTGACTGTTTGCTTTGTTTCGTTTGTGTGTTTTAGGGGTGATCTTGTTGTTGTTGTTGGCACGGCAACTCCATGCACAACAAAACTAAATGCTGCCTGGTCCTGTGCCATCCTCATGATTGGTTTCGGATTGGACTGTTGTGATCCATAGGTTTTTACTGGCTTATTTTCAGAAGCAGATCACTGGGCCTTTCTTCCTAGTCTGTCTTAGTTTGGAAGCTCTGCTGAAACCTGTTCGGCATCATAGCCACACACACCTCGACTGACAGATGGGTGGTGGCTGGCTGCACATGAGGTAAATCAAATCCAGGTCTTCCGCGTGGAAGGGAAGAATTCTACCACTGAACCACCACTGCCTCCCACTCGAGGGAAAATATTGTTGTGTTAGCTGCCACTGAGTCGACCACTGACTCACGGCAGCCCCATGCACCATGAAATAAGATGCTTTCCAGCCCTGCACCATCCCCATGATCAATTGAAGACTGAGCCAGTGTGATCCATAGGGTTTTCATCAGCTGATTTTTGGAAGTAGATCACCAGGCCTTTCTTCCCTAGCAATGATACGGGTAGTTATTTCTAATATAAGAGTACAGACTTTCAAGTCAGACCCCCTTACGCTTGAATCCTGACTGTCCCTTCTTTAGCTGTGTTGCTTAGGGAAGGTTACCCAACCTCTCTGATTCTTGGCTTACTTATATATAAAATGGGAATAATAACCCTACAAGCACTCTATAAATGACAGTGGTTATTCATAGTGTACATAATACTCCAATTTGTGATCTACGGAGTACAGAGTACAGTACAATCACTACTTCCCTTGTTCCATGCATTTTGGCAACCCATTAATACTGTCTTAGGCATTAAAACTGTTTTTGAAGCTATGTAAAGCTATTAGCTTTAGTAACAGTATATTGTTGTTTTAAATAGGTCCATTCAAAACAACCCAAATGTCCATCAACAGATGAATGGATAAACAAAATGTGGTGTATCCATACAATGCAACATTATTCGTCACAAAGAGAAATGAAGTCCTGATACATGCTACAACACGGATGAACCTTGAAAACATCATGCTGAGTGAAATGAGTCAGACACAAAAGGACAAATATTGTATGATCCCATGTATATGAAATAACTAGAATAGGAAAATGCACAGAGACAGAAAGTAGATTAGTGGTTATCAGGGCCTGGGAGGAGGGGGAACAGAAAGTTATTGCTTAAGCGTCACTAAGTTTCTATTTAAGGTGATGACAAGGTTTTGCAAATAGTAGTGATGGTAGCACACGCACGCGCGCACGCACACACACAAACAGCTCTCTTCTCAGAAGGGGCCATATAAACCAGAGACTCCATCAGCCTGAGACCAGAAGAACTAGATGGTGCCCAGCTCCCAGAATGACCGCACTGACAGGGAACACAACAGAGAGTCCCTTAATGGTCAGACTTAATGGTCTGACTGAGACTGGAGGGACCCTGGAAGACATGGTCCCCAGACTCTCTGTTTTCCCAGGACTGAAACCATTCCCGAGGCCAACTCTCCAGACAAAGATTAGACTGGACTATGGGACATAAAATGAGACTCGTGAAGAGTGTGCTTCTTAGCTCAAGTAGGTACATGAATGGGCAGCTCCTGTCCAGAGGCGAGATGAGAAGTCAGAGAGGGTCAGGAGCTGGTTCAATGGACACGGGAAATCCGGGGTGGAAAGGAGGAGTATGCTGTCACAGTATAGGGAGAGCAACTAGGGTCACATAACAATATATGTATAAGTTTTTGTATGAGAGACTAACTTGAACTGTAAACTTTCACTTAGAACATAACAATAAAAAAATAGGTCTCTTCTTACTTGAGACATATAGTTATATTCTTCTTAAAGTTGCAAGTTGTCATTTTGAAAGAGAAAGAAACAAAGATGACATTTGGCTATGTGGATAAAGTTGAAAGAAAAGAATTAAAAAAAAAAATAAACTCAGCCTCCTGAGCCACTCATTCCTTCTTATTCACAGTGATGGGCTCCAAACAAATGAAGACATGGGGAGGTAATGGCTGATAGGCCTAAAAACATCCCAAGAGGTTTTTAATGGATTCATGAGAGGGATGGAAATAAAGTGTCCAGATTTAAAACCAAACAGAACCAAAAAATAAACAGGTAAAGGAATTCTCATGGCTGGGTCTGGATCATTTGCAAGCTACATCAAAAGTACTGTGCTGCGGATTAATTACCAAAGTTTGTGAAACACTATCTTTCATTACAGCAGATTATTCGTGGGTATTGTTGTCATAACTTTGTTCACTCAACTTATAATAACTTCACTCATCTTTACTTTCTTGAGTGGGAGATAAAAGGAGGGGATTAGAACATAACCCATCATTGATTTTTGTTTAGCAAAGGCCATAGGGAACATAGCTGATGTGGCAATTAACTATGGCTATTATAAATTATTATAGTCCTCTCTTTTTCCTAAAGAAGGTTTGGGGTTTCATCAAAAACTGGAAGTGCTAAATGTGCACGTGAAAATCATCCATCGTGTGTCTTGAAAAAAAAGGCTGGGAATTGCTGCTCTGTAGGAAAAATACCATATTTTTACACAAATAATGCACGCCTTCCACCTTTGTTTGCCAACCATGCCCTCCTCCCTCCACCCCCCGCGAGGTATTTTCATAAGCACCACTATGCCAATTTTTTTTTTTTACATGTTGCTGTTTAAAAAATTAGCATAGCGTGCTTACAAAACTACCTCTTGGGGGAGGGCGCGGTTGACAAACGTAGAAGGCGCACAGTATTTGCGTAAACATACAGTAACTGAACGCACAACAGTAGAGTTGAGAATGGTACCATCTGAAAGTAAAAAGAATGGTACTCACGGCCTCCAAATGACCACAAAAATGCACAGAATATAGACAAAACGGAAGTTTTTAAAATGTTAAACCAAAAGGAAATCCTATTCATTTTATCAGTCCCTGGGTGGTGCAAATGGTTAACAGCTCAGTTAGAGGTTCAAGTCCACCCAGAGGTGCCTCAGAAGAAAGGCTTGGCAATCTACTGCAGAAAAATCAGTCATTGAAACCCTACAGAACACAGTTCTGCTCTGACACACATGGTATCGCTATGAGTCGAAGCTGACTTGGTGGCAACTGGTTTGGTTATTTACTTTATCACTGGGATTCAAACCCAAACCAAACCCACTGCCATTAAGACGATTCTAACTCATAGCAACCCTACAGGGTTTCCAAGGCTGTAAATTCCTATGGAAGCAGACTGCCACATCTTTCTCCCATGGAGCCACTGGTGGTTAGCAGTTGGTTGCTTCAACCACTGCGCCACCAGGGCTCCAAGAAATATTGCAATGGGAGGGAGTGCCTTGTCTAAAGAAAGCTCAGAGAAGAGAGCAGGGAACAGCCCACGTATAAAGTAACCAGACTATACAGGAATCTAAGAATTTAAATTTCAAGATTCAGTTGTGAAGAATTGAATAAATACTCAAGGAAAAATTTTAAATCAAACACAAGTTGTTGTTTCAAGAGTGATGCTTGAAAACATTATGTTAAATGAAATAAGTCAGACACAAAAGGACAAATTTTATATGATCCCACTTACATGAAAATATATAGGCAAAAACATAGAAACAAAATTTGATTAGCAGATACCACAGGCTGAAGGCTTGTGGGGGGGATGGGGAAGGGCAGTAATTGCTGAAGGAACACTAAGTTTCTGTTTAAAAAAACCCATTGCCATCAAATCGATTCCGACTCATAGTGACCCTATAGGACAGAGTAGAACTGCCCCATAGGGTTTCCAAGGAGTGGCTGGTGGATTCGAACTGCCGACCTTTTGGTTAGCAGCCAAGCTCTTAACCACTGCGCCACCAGGGCTCCGAGTTTCTGTTTACGGGGATGAAAAACATTTGGAAATGGATAGTGGTGACGGTAGCACAACATGATGAATGTAATTAATGTCACTGAATTGTACACTTAAAAATGATTAAGGTGACAAACTTTTTTGTTACATGTGTATTTTACCACAATAAAAATTTTAAGAAAAGAGTAGCTGACCTTCTCGGACACGCCGCTTTGGGAGGAGCCATCCAAGTCCTCATGCACATGATCCAGCAGCCAGAGAAGGAACTCCAGGGCGTCGTGTTGGGAATTGCCTTGGAACTGAGACCCATACTTGGAAACAGCGTTCTGGGAGGAGAAAAAACCGGACATTCAGTTTAGTCCATCAAACAACTGACTAAGGAGCCTAGCAGCACTAAGTCTGGCAGTGGTCTTTATTCATCCCCAACCTGGGACGACAACAGACAAAAACGCAGGGTAAGGAACGCTCTTTCCTGCTGAAGCCTGCGGCAGTGTCCCAAAATGGTACACAGTTCCCTGAATAGGGGAACAAGAACCAGTTGCCACAGAGTCAGTTCTAACTCAGAGACTCCACCTGTGCGCCATAGTAGAACCGTGCTCCATAGAGTTTTCAATGGCTGATTTTTCAGAAGTTGATCACCAGGCCTTTCTTCCAAGGCACCTCTAGGTGGACTGGAACCTCCAACTTTTTGACCAGTAGCCGAGTGTATTAACCATTTGCACACTCAAGGACTGCCTGTGTAAGAGAAGGCAACTTCTTTTCCAAAAAGACTACTAATGTATGTCCTGTCCTTTTGAAAACCCACAGTGTGTTCTCTGTTGAGTATGTTGACATTGTTGACGGTCCTGTCTTTCCTGAAGTGCCCATCCTTTCATCTCTGGGGCACCACACCCCCTCGCCATCCTTCCATCTGTCCATTCCCACGTTGTCTGTGCCCCGCAGGTAAGGGTTCCCCAGGTTTCCTGCCCTGCTTTCTCCCTCAGTGATTTCACTCACTCCCACACCTTCAACTCTCTCTTTTTTGTGAACAACGCACCCTCAATTGTGGGTCTAACAAACTCTTCCTCCTTAAATACCATGAATGTAGCTCCCTCTTTGCGTGAAATTTAAGAGACACAAACTCCTCCTTCTGTGGTTAGATTATGAAATGATTGAGCCAGCCCTTCATTCCTTTAATAAATAGTTATTGAGTATCTACCACGTGCTATAGGAGTCCCTGGGTGGTGCAAACAGTTAAGCACTCAACTACTAGCCAAAAGAGTGGCAGTTTGAAATTATCCAGAGGGTCCTCGGAAGACAAGCCTGGCAATCTGCTTCTGAAAATTCAGCCTTGAAAACTCTATGGAGCAGATCTACTCTGCACGCACAGGGTCCCCATGAGTTGGAATCAAATTCACAGCAACTAACAACCACCACCATGCTATTCTATTCTAGGGGCCAGACAAGACTCCCTGCCCTCATGGAACTTCCCTTCTCTGATCCCTCTGTGCTGTCCCTCTGTTAAATTGTATAACAATTTTGTCATTTTCTGTGTCTATTTCAGCTTTTTAAAAGTTTATTTCAAAGGTCAATACGTGCACATTTAAAAAAAGAATTCAATATATACAAAGGGATGGTAATGAAGTCTTACTTCTACCAGTCCCATCCCTTAGAGCCTCTCCCCAAAGGTCAGCTACTCTTACAGCTTCTATAACATCTTTCCAGGGATCTTTTTATGCAGGTAAGTATCTCAGTGTGTTATGGATTGAACTGTCTTCCCCCAAAACATATGCTGGAATCCTAACCCCTGTACCTGTGGATGTGATGTACTGTGCTGTAACTACTGTCAAGTCCACTCACGGCAACCCCACACACGAAGGAAGGAAATGCTGCCCAGTCCTGTGCCATCCCCATGATCAGCTGCAAACCAGACCATTGTGATCCATAGAGTTTTCACTAACTGATTTTCAGGAGTCAATCGCTAGACCTTTCTTCCTAGTTCGTCTTAGTCTGGAAGCTCTGCTGAAACCTCTTCAGCACCACAGCAAAACACAAGCCTCCTCCGACAGGTGGGTGGTAGCTGAGCCGAAGGTGCATTGGCTGGGAATCAAACCCAGGTCTCCCACATGGAAGATGAGAATTCTACCACTGCACCACCACTGTCCCTATATATCGTAACTACCTTACATCTAACGTTATGTAATGTAATCACTTTCCATAATGCAATTGGATGTAATCCATCAAATAGTTGTGTAGAGTGGGTCCTACACCTAAACATTTCTGAGTTATATAAAGAGCAGCACAGACACAGACACACACACACAGGGGGAAGACAGGTGCTACCTGACGAAGGCAGATTAATTTACAAGCCCAGGAACCCCAAGGATTGCCAGCTACTAGAAGCTGCAATAGACAAAGAAGGACCTCTCCCTAGAACCCTGCATTTGACTTCTAGCCTCCTAAACGGTGAGAAAATTACTTTCTGTTCTTTAAAGTCACCCACTTATGATATTTCTGTTACAGTACCACTAGGTAACTAAGACAGAGTGTAAATATATTCCTTTGTTTGTGTGCACACATGCATATCCATGTGCACACAAGTATATTACAGTTGTCTGTCCCGCCCTTTAGACTGCTAAATCAAGCTCAAGCCCGCAGAAGGGACCAGTCTGAGCAAGGCTGAGGACCAGAACGACCCTCACTGCTGCCAATCAAATCAAATGACCAGGGCTTTCTTCTTTCCTTCCTTCTTTCTTTCTTTTATAAATCTTCCCTCGGGATTTATAGAAAACTTTAGGATGAGAAGCAGCAAGAGTCAAGATTAAATTAATTGAAATGCTGGTTCTGAGTTTTTATTCCAATCACACTACGTTAGGGTCTACAGAAATCAGAGTTTGGTGGTATCCCCTAGGATACTCTGCACTTCGTCCTCGTCCCCTAGTAGGGTTGCTAGATTCAGCAAATAAAAATACGGGGTGCCCAGTTAAATCTGAATTGCAGATAAACAAAGAATGACTTTTTAGTATAAATGTCCCAAATACTTCATGGGAAATACACTAAGAAATTACACATTGTTGATCTGCAATTCAAATCTAACTGGGTGTTGTATATTATATCTGAAACCCTACCCCCAAGCCACCCTCAAATCTATATCCTTAGTAACAACATGCCCTCCTGGGTGGGCAGCCAGCACCTCCAACTCAGAATCTCTAAAACCAGCTCTTTCTCTTAATGTCAGTGTTATCTTGCTGTTTTGCTCTCACCCCCACATCCCTGTCAAGAATTCTAAATTCTGCTTCTGGAAGCGTCTCTGCCCCGCCCTTCAGTGCAGTTCAATTCCCACTGCTGGGTCCTAACCACTGCTGACCTGGAGGACAATGCAGACTGAAGGGGGAGGCCAGGCCCTAGAATCTCCCCACTGCGTTCATGGTCGAACAGATCGGTTTTCCTACAGTCCAACTGGATAATGTCACCCCCTTACTCCAAAACCTTCCATACTCTCCTACCAGCTGCCATTGAGTCTAGTCTAACTCATGGTGACTCCATGTGTGTCAGAGTAGAACTATGCTCCATAGGGTTTTCAACGGCTGATTTTTTTTTTTTCCAGAAGTAGCTCGCCAGACCTTTCTTTCAAGGCACCTCTGGGTGGGCTCAAACTTCCAACCTTTCAGCTAGCAGCTGAGTGCATTAACTGCACCACCCAGGAACTCCCATACGTTCCTACTTACCACTTACTAGTCCAAACTCTTCTCAGTTCTAGCTGTGTCTTCTGCCACTCTGCTATGTGTTTCAAAGGTCCAGATGAACAGGCCATGCAGGTGCCCCAAACACAGATTCCTACTTCTACATTTTTGCCTTTATTTTTGCTCTTCCTGCTCTGTGAAATCCCTTCTCCTCCCGCTAGCCATACCAATCCTTTAAGACTGACATGCTCTTAATTGTAGCCTGGCTATAAAGCCATCAACCTTTCAAAAAAGAATTTGACAACATCAAGAAGGGCCTTAAAAATGTCCCTCCTCTGTATCAACACAGTAATTCCACTTTTGAGGATTTAACCTAAGGAAATGAGAGATACATATGTTTGTATTTCCTTAGGTTATGAGAAGGAAATACAAACATAGGTATCTCTCATTTCCTTAGGTTATGAGAGATACAAGCATATATATATATGATACAAGCATATATATATATATATATATATATATATATACATATATATATAGTGTTGTTATGTGCCATTGAGTTACTTCTGACTCATAGCGACCCTATGTACAACAGAAGGAAACACTGCCCAGTCCTGCGCCATCATAATCGTTTTTATGCTTGAGCCCATTCAGCAGTCACTGTGTCAGTCCATCTCCTTAGGGGTCTTCCTCTTTCTTACTGACCCTCTACTTTACCAAGCATGATGTCCTTCTCCAGGGACTGGTTCTTCCTGATAACTTGTCCAAAGTATGCGAGATAAAGTCTCGCCATCCTTGTTTCTAAGGAGAATTCTGGTTGTACTTCTTCCAAGACAGATCTGTTTGTTTTTCTGGCAGTCCATGGTACATTCAGTACTCTTTGCCAACACCATAATTCAAAGGCATCAATTCTTCTTTGGTCCTCCTTATTCGTGGTTCAGCTTTCCCATGCATATGAGGCAATTGAAAACATCATGGCTTGGGTCAGGCGCACCTTACTCCTTAAAGTGATATCTTTGCTTTTTAATCCTTTAAAGAGGTCTTTTGTAGCAGATTTGCCCAATGCAATACATCCTTTGATTTCCGGACTGCTGCTTCCATGGGTGTTGATTGTGGATCCAAATAAAATGAAATCCTTGACAACTTCAATCTTTTCTCCATTTATCATGACGTTGTTTATTGGTCCAGTCGTGAGGATTTTTGTTTTCTTTATGTTGAGGTGTAATCCATACTGAAGGCTGTAGTCTTTAATGTTTATCAGTAAGTACTTCAAGTTCTCTTCACTTTCAGCAAGCAAGGTTGTGTCATCTGCATAATGCAGGTTGTTAATGAGTCTTCCTCCAATCCTGATGCCACATTCTTCTTCATATAGTCCAGCTTCTTGGATTATTTGCTCAGCATACAGACTGAATAAGTATGGTGATAGGCTACAACCCTGATGCACACCTTTCCTGACTTTAAACCATGCAGTATCCCTTTGTTCTGTTCGAACAACTGCCTCTTGGTCTATGTACAGGTTCCACATGAGCACAATTAAGTGTTGTGGAATTCCCATTCTTCGCAATGTTATCCATAATTTGTTATGATCCACACAGTTGAATGCCTTTGCACAGTCAATAAAACACAGGTAAACATCTTTCTGCTATTCTCTGCTTTCAGCCAGG